AATCTTGACAAAGTAAAGCAACTATTTGCATATTATAGAGCAGTGTTTTTCAACCACTGTGCCGCGGCACACTAGTGTGCCGTGACATAGTGTAAGGTGTGGCGTGGGAAAATTACTTTATATATAGTCAATATAGGCACAGAGTTAAATTTTTTTTAAACATTTTCTAATGGTGGTGTGCCTCGTGATTTTTTTCATGAAAAAAGTGTGCCTTTGCACAAAAAAGGTTGAAAAACACTGTTATAGAGAATAGGCTGAGAATCTCTAGGGATGAGCCAACTTCAATGCCTCTTTGCCCTCTGGAATGCAGCGCCCCCTCCCCTTGGGAATCCAGGCTACATTCCACACCACCTTTTTCTGCCCAGGCACAATGCTAGTGGCGACATGTGCCCCAAATTGAAAGATGAAGGAAACTGAATGTAGCTACCAGGTGCTTCACAGACCCATTAAGAGCAACCGGGGAGTGCAGGGAAGGCGATGGGGTGGGGGGAGGATCTGGAGAGTATGGCTAACCCTCCCCACTCACTGAGGGGCTTAGCCCCAAGGCTGGGCAGCCCGTGCACACGCACACACACGCACACACGCTGGAAGGACAATTCTGCCAGCCCAAAAGACGGCGGAGGAGACTTCCCGCCCGCCCTTTGCCCTCCCCCATGGGACGCCCTCTCCCCCTTGCCCACCAGCCCGCCAGTCTGAGAGGGCTACTGGCGCCCAGAAGGCCGGCCAGACCGCCAGGAGCCGCTCTGCTCTAGGTCTGGCCCAAGGACGGAAGCGGCTGGGGGACTTTGGGCCGGCGACTCTCTCAGCCCAGCCCACCTGGCAGGGTCCTGGTGGGGAAAGGAGGGGGGAGGAGCGTTGGTGAGGTTTCCCCGCCGAGACTCCTTTAGGGAAAGGAAGGAAGGAAGGAAGGAAGGAAGGAAGGAAGGAGGGAGGGAGGGATCTCAAGGTAAAAGGAAGGCTATAAACGAGGCTGCCGGAGAGATCCGGACTCCGGGGGGAAGCCAGGGGCCGAAAGGGGAACTCGGGAGGGGAGGCGGCTAGGTGTAGCCCCAGGCCGCGCTGGCATTCCCGGGCGGCGCCCAGCCGGAGCTCGCGGGGGTTCCCGGAGCGGCCGGCCGGGCGAAAACAAAGCTCACCGTAAGCAGAACCGCCGCGCTCAGCCCCGCCGACCACCGACGCCCCTCCATCGCCGCCGCCTCGGCCCGCCGCCTCCACCACACCTCTTTATAGGCGCGGGGAGGCGGCGGGGCTCTCGCCGGCCCATCGGGCGGGGCGCCCAACTTCCAGGGGTGGCGCCGCAGTCTGCCCGACCCTCGGACCCGCCCGCCTGCCGGGAATCCCCCGCAGAGGGAAGTCCCGGGCTCGCTCAGGGGCGGCAAGTAACACCCCCCGCCCTTTGTCCGTCCTTTTCCGCCGAGACTGACCTCCCTCGTGGGGTTGTTGTGGGGCGGGGGACGCCCAATAAGAGGGGGGGCTCCCGCGGCCATAGCAGCAATAGCGTCTGTGGGTCGCCCGCCTTCCGCCCCCGCCGGCTGGAGGTCGGCTGCGAAAGGGCAGCGCTCCGAGGGCCTCAAGCAGAAGGGCCAGGGGCCGGAGGGGCGAGGGCCCCGCCAAGAGCCTCTGCTGCTGGTTTCCGAAGCGGGCGAGGGGCGGTTTGGACCTCAGCCGGCCTGCACCTCATCGAGAGTCCTCCGGACCTTCCGAGCAGAGAGATTCGTGGCGAGGGCTTGTCGGGCGGACCGGAGAGCTGAAAAGAACAGGGGAGACCCCCCTGCAGCAGAGCCTAAAGATCCGGGGAGGGGGCTTGGATTGAGGTGCCCGTTTTGGGGCTCTCCTTGGCCACCCCAGCCTGACACCTGCTGCAGTAGAGGGGACGCCCCGGCCCTGGGAGAATGCCTGGAGCACCCTGGGGACCCCCGTGCTGCCTCAGCTGCTTTCAGAGGTTCCCCCCCCCCATGGGATGGGTGGGCTGCGTGCCTATCAGGCTTTCCCACGGATTTGGGGCCCTTTGGAGTGATGCGAGAGCCCGAGGAAAGGCCTGCCAAGGCCAGTTGGTCAGCCGAAGGGGCCACATTGGGGGCAGCCCCGTGACTGATTTTATGTGGAGGGGTCTCCACCCCCCTCTTGTCATGGTTCGGCCACAACCCAACTGTGAAAGTGAAATCCTGCACCCCAAATTCTATTCCTGCTCCCGAGGAAGAAAACCAGCCCTCAAGAGGGGAATCGAAGGAAGCAGAGGAAAGGCGCTCCCCCTCCCCCCAGACCTGGGGGTTTCCATCTGGCAAGGTAGAGAGGAATGTCCCCCCATCCCCAACTCAAAACCCCACTAGGGGCTACTTCCCCATTCCGTGTTATGCTTGGCTGGAGGCCTGCTGGGAAAAGGCCCCGGGGGAGGGGGGGCAATGGCCTGGGAAAGCCCCTCCCCATTCCCCAACTTTTCAGTAGAAAAAACCCCTACAACTGTTCCTCAGTTCAGTTTGCTGACATATTGGGGGGGGGGAGGCTCTTCAGCCCACTTGCGAAAGTTCTATTTAAAAGGATAAGAAGCTACTGCTGTGTCCCCCCCCCCACTTTAATAAGCCCTGAAAGCAGTTTGACCATGCTGAGCTCCCCCCCCCCCACCTTCAGAGGCCCTCCGGTTGAGAGGCTTATGAATGAATCTCGTTTGCTGCCCATCTGGCCACGAGGCAAAGTTCTCCCTGGCAGACTAAATGAGTCAGTCTCAGCTGATTTAGTTCTGGTGGGTAACGACTGAGGACTAGTTGCTTGTGACAAAAACTTCCCAGTAAATAAGGCTGTATCTAGTGAAAGCAGAGAGTTTTATTTTTATTCACTTAATTTTCCAAACTGCTGCCGGTAGGAGGAGAAAGAGCAACGGATCGAAACTGGGAGGGAGAGATCCAACCTGAAAATAAAGAGGCGTTTCCTGACAACCCCTGGAAGGGCTTCCCTCCAGAAGCTGCTCGGCACTGTTCAAGAAGAGAAGGGGCAGCTGGGGTGGGGTGGGGGGCGGACTAGAGCTCCCTTTCAGCCCCACCAACAGGGGCACCTGGGGGGAGGAGGGGGGGGTCCAGGGGAGGAGGAGCAGGGGGAGGAAGCAGCCCAACCTCATCACAACCGGGCTTCTTGCCCTTCTTGCCCAAAGCCACCTGGCCAGGGGAAAATGGAAGGCCGAAGGGGGGGGAGGGGAGGGATCCTAAATGTTTTATTTGTAGTGGACGCTCAGAAACAAAATCTCCATGGAGGTGCCTGTGTCCCCCCCCCCAATAACTGCCCTGAGCCCAAGGCTGGGAAGCGGCCCTGGGTTTCACCCTCGGGGCCACTCAGGCTTTGGGTCTCTGCAGAGGGCGGATGCCGCAGCAGGAAAAGAACCCCAAATCCCTCGTGTCCCGGGGGGGGGGGCTGAGGGGGGAGTCGGGGGGGTCCCTCGGGCTGCAGCGGATCCCCCTCCCACCCGGGAGGCACGAGGAAGAACCGACGCTCGGCTGGCGCACCCAATGGGGGGGGGGCGTCTTCGGCCTGGGGGTCTTAGCCGGATGGGAGGCGAACCCAAAGTGGGGCAAGGCGGGCGGGTCAGAGGGGGCCCAACCGGGGGACGCAGGAAGGGGGGGGCACCAAGGACCCCGAAAGCAAAAGAGCTCGACTCCGTCTCCCCTCCCCTCCCGAGAGTCTGAGCTTCCGGTCTCTCCTCCGGCCAACTGCCCGGAGGATTGTGGGAATTGAAGTCCGAGGCGCCGCGCAGGCGACCAGACGAAAGCTCAGGGGCGGATTGGCCAGAGGCGGAGAAATGGGGCGGGGTCAGTCGCGACGGGCGGGGGACACCCGGAAGCGGAAAAGCGGCCCACACCTTCCGGTGGGCGTGGCGTCGCGGGAAGGCCGTTGCCGCGTCGTGAGGCGAGAGGAGAGCGGCCGGGCCCCTCAGTCCCGGTGAGTGAGCGAGCGAGCGCGGCGGCGGCGGCGTCGATGGCGGGCGGGGTTCGCGCGGGCGCTCCTCCCCCTCCGGGAGGCCGGCAATAAACGCTCCTTCCCCGGTGTGCCTGTTGTGTTCTTTGGCGCTCGTGCCCGCCTCCTCCTCCTCCGCGCGCGCCCCCGACGCCGCAGGTGGGGGCCTCCGAGGAGGGTCCCGCGCGGAGACCCGGAATCCCCTCCCCCCCCGGCAGCCGGCCGGGCATGCTGGGCCTTGGAGTCTCCTCCTCGGTCTCGGAGCCCCGTGGCGACCCCGCCGGGCGAGGCAGGCGCTGGGGGGGGGGAAGCGGCGTCGGCAGGGGGCCCGTCCTCCAGGCCTCCGTCCCGCGGCTGGGGAGGGGCGGGCGGGCGGTTTGTCTCCTGGCGGTCGTCCCGCCGCGCTGCCCTCGCTCCTCCCTGGGGAGGGGGGGGATTTCGGTCTTCCGGCGCCTGAACCGCTGCGGCTGCGTCCCCGGGTCCGTTTCGCGGGGCTTCGCTTGAAGAGAAGGGAGGGGTGGCCGTTCTCCCAAGGCGGCTTCCTCCCGCGGCCTTTCCCTGGCGGCCAGGCAGAGGCTCCCGGGGCTCCTTTGTGGCAGCTTCTCCCGGACTGGCCTGGGATCCGCTTCCCATTCAGCGCCCGAGGAGGCTGCCGGGCTCCCTGCGAGGCCCCGCGTGGGTGGGGGGGGGGGGGGGGGCCACGTGGCCGCCGGGCCCTCCGGAGAATTTGAGGGGCGAAGCAGGGCTGGGCGTTTGGGGGGGGAGGGGAAACGGGCGGGCGCTCCAGCCAAGCCGGAATTCAGCCCGAAGAAGAACCGGAGCTTCTGGCCCTTTCTGTGGAATCGGGCGAAGCGCCTTGTCAGTAGATCTGCAGCCACGGAGCCGATCCGGGAAACGGGACAAAGGAGATGCTGACAGGAGGCCTCAGCCGCCCTCCAGGCTGCCCGTCTTGGGGTCGGTTGGGGCTGCTCAGCATAGTCGGCAGGTGTTGGAGATGAAGGACTCTGGGGCACCAAGCTAGGATTATTCTGAAGCCCCGGAAGGAAGGCAGCCCCCCCCCCCCAGGAGAACAGGGTCTTTCATCCCCCCCTCCCCAATGGCAGAGGAAAGGGCAATCACCCGCTCTGCTCTTCCTGGGTGGCAGGTTGCTAGAGAGCCTTGGAGACCAGAGCTCTGCCTTCACCCGTAAGAAGGGAGGGGTGGGCTGCCTCTTCAGCACTGGCTCCCAGGCACCCTTTATTAGGGTGCCTTTTCCCTCCCTCCCTCCAATAGGCTTCTGCTTGGAGGAAGGAGGCCAGGGGGCATATTTCCTTTCTATTTCCCCCGTCCCTGCCCCCCCTCCCCCCAGCTAGGAAGAGGGAGGGCAGTGCCCACACGCCTCTCCCTCCCTCCCTCCCTCCCACCCTGCCCAGCCACAGGGAGGGTCTGAGGCAGGGATTCCGGAGGGGGAGCTGGCGATAGCTTCATACCCCCCAGGTCAGCTTTGGGTCAGTGCAGCCACACGGGCTGAACTCCGCCGGCTCTGGTGGCCACCCGAAGGAGCTCTGGCACTAGAAGCCCCCTTTTCCCTCTCCAGGCCGTCCTCGGGTTCTGACCCTGGTGGAGACTGGGATTGCCGCTGCGGATGCAGGCAGTCCTAAACGAGACGCCCTCGGACCACACTGACTGCAGTCCCAGCATTCCCAATTGTGGTCGTTAACTGAGAATCACAGGTCATTAAGTGAGCACCTACCCCAATCCTGGCCATTCTGGGCTTGGCCCCCTCAAAGCCCCCAGCCTCATTAGGATTATAACCGCCCCCAGATCCTCCCATGCCATTTCTGCCTTGCCGTTCAGCAAGCAGCCCCAGAACCATCCCGGCCTCCTTGCAGGGCTCTGGGAAGCTGTGGCCCCCTCAACCAGCCGCAGCCGCCCTGCAGCCCTTCCGAGACCCCTGCCGCCCTCTGCCCCACCGCCCTGGCTGTTTTCTCGCCCCCACTGGTGAGGAGGTCTGCCCAGCTGCTCCCTGGCTTGCGCCTGCTTCTTGAAGTTCACCAGAGTCCCCCGCCTGGCCCACCTTCGAACGGTTGTACCTGGTTGGGTCTAGCAGGGCCGGGATAGAGCCGTGAGGAAGGTGGGGGTGAGAGTGGAGGCCCCGGAGGGAACGTGGCCGTTGCTAGGGGATGGGCTGTAATTCCAGGGGGACGCTGGGGATGGGGCCTGGGCAGCTCCCACGGACCCTTGCTGGGCTCACTCTTGGACAGCGGGTAGATGGG